AGACTGCCAAGCATCATTTCTACAGATCCGTCGGACTATCGCTGCTCGAATTTGATGAACTGCGCACGCTTGTATGCCATATCGGGGCAATTATTAATTCTCGCCCATTGTTATCCCTTTCAGAACATCCAGCAGATCTCGATGTCTTGACTCCAGCTCATTTTCTTGGTGCTGCTCCGCTGTCAACGTACGTTGAGCCTGATCTGACGAAGCTCAATTTCAATCGGCTGGATCGATGGCAGCGCGTGACGTACTACCAGCAGATATTTTGGGCTCGCTGGCGTGAAGAATACTTGACGCTTCTTCAACAGCGCTCAAAATGGCGAGTGTCGCAGCCTGGGCTCTCCATTGATGATGTCGTTCTGGTCAAGGACGAGAATTTGCCGCCCCTCAAATGGCCATTAGCAAGGGTGGTCAGCCTCATCAGCGGCGCAGATGGCGTGTCGAGAGTTGCAGAATTGAGGACTTCCACTGGAACCATTCGGCGAGCCGTTCGCAAATTATGCCCGCTGCCGAAACAAGATGTTGTTGAAGACCCTGGTTCTTCAACAGGGGGAGTATGTTTGGTCATCCGGCCAAAAACAGCCAAAACCAGCAGCACATCATAGTTAATAAGTAACGTAAATAACTCAATGCAAAGTGCTCGTTTTCTTGTCGCTTGCTTTGCATAGCAAGCCGAGCACTTAACGTTTCCTTTTGTTGCCATAAATTTGCATAGGCTGCTGCGCAGCCGCCACATATGTACTAGTTATTGTCGCTAACTCTGCAAGTCAAGTTCGTTTTTCGTTATCGCATCTGGTACGGAGAAGCTTAGCTTTCCGTCTACCAGCATAAACTTTGTAAATCTCGGCGATCGCTACCTATGCAAAATAAACATTTGTGCACATCTTTTAAATTGAACAATTTCGTTTCGCTTATTTTGCAATTATTTCGCCAACATAATTTCGCATATTTGGAATCATAAAAAAGCTTATGATTATACAGTTTCTTTGGATGATATTTCGATTTGTCTATTTGATAAAAGTGTATAGCAATTCATTAGAATTTCAATTCATATTAAGAAAAGATTACATTCATTTATTTATTTTATCAATTTCACTTAATAGAAGACAAATTTTAATAATAAGTCAGTTAGAAACTACACTGTTGTCCAACTTTTAAACTTATAAAACTCCAAAATTGTATCACAAAAAACAGTTGTGATCGCAAAACACAAACAGAACGCGCTGAACTTATCTTAATGCAATATACTTATAATTTTTAAAGAGATAGATAATACTTTGGCGGTTAGTAAATATAACATTGTTCAATTATTGCAAACAGGAAATAAATTTGAGCAATTGTATTGAGTTTGAATAAAGTTTCATGACTAAGCCCTTAAACTTGTTTGATAGTGCTTCATGGCTGCATACATATGTACATACATAAGTCTAAGTATAGCATCTATCAGATATTAATGAATTAAAAAACTTGGAATTGTAATAACAATGATAGTTTGTATTTTTTATTAGATTTCCGAAATAAGAGTTTAAGTGAGATTCAAGATTCCCATAAATATGAAAATGTTTAAAATAATTGAAATATAAAACGAAATAATTTAGCAACTTGTTAAATAATACATATGTATAAGCTTCATCGTACTTTTCAAATCAAAACAAGATAGAACGCTACAGTCGAGCAAGCCCGACAGTAAAATAGCCTGTACTCTCCACAAAAAGGAAAAATTAAAAAAAAAAAAAAATTTTTTTAAAATTAAATTATTAAAAAAAATGAATGAATTAATTAATTAAAATAATTAATTTAATTAAATTAGAATACATGTTTATGTTCAGTTTAAACAGCATACATTTACATCACGTACCTATGCGTGTTTATATGCGTGTTTATATGCGTGTATGCATGCAGCACAAAGTTAAACCAAAGCAGCAACAACAACAACAGCTGCGGGCAGCGCTGCCGACAGAGGCAGCGCATGAGCAGCGATTTTACTTATGGCTATAACTTTCTTCAGAATTGACCTATCATGATGAAATTTGGCACACGGACACATTAGTACTAACTGGATGTACCTACCAAAATTGATTTCAAAATTCCGAGAATTACGGAAGTTATAAGAAAAAATACGAATTGCGGGGGAGTGGGGGGGGTGTATCAGAAAAAATAAACAAACTCGTTCTGCCTAGGGCTTATAGGAACCTTGATACCAATTTTGGTTATCCTAGCTCTTGTACTTACTGAGATCCTTGCGCTCATACAGACAGACGGACAGACGGACAGACGGACAGACGGTCAGACGGACAGACGGACAGACGGACAGACGGACATGGCTATATCGACTCGTCTTCTCATCCTGATCAAGAATATATATACTTTGTGGGGTCTGCCACGCCTCCTTCTGTGTGTTACATACATGCGCACAAAACTAGTATAGCCTTTCACCCTTTGGGTACAGGCTATAATTAAACAACTACTCTTTAAAGGTCGAGAGCACCATTTTTATTTAGATCTATCGAATAATACTATAGTGTCACCTTTTGATGGAAACGCCACGCAATTACTTAACATGTTTCTGAAGTTTTTCGCTTTTTTTTTTAACCAAAAACACGCACTTTGATATTAATGGCATTGCAAATATGAAAAACTAGCTTGTGAGAAGAAGCAACAAGTTCAATTCACGCGCAACACACCCCAACACAGCGCCCGAACCAACCCCAACCCTCAACCCGAAGCCGTCATAAGGAACAGGGCAAAGAAATAAAACACGAAAGAAAAAAGTGCGCAGCAAAAAACAAACATTTCGATATCGTTTCGCGCACACGAGTCTACAAGAGATATGAGAACGTCCATGTACATACAAACATACATACACACACGTACATAGCACATATGCACATTGAGATGTACATACATACATACATATGTGCATATGAGTACGTTTTAGTTGTTCTTGATTATGATTATTACCGCGGCACATTAGTATGTTATAGTACAGTGTATTATATTTTGCTCAGTTGTTGCCGAACCCGAACACACAGCACACGAAGAGCAGCCAATGAACGAACGAGCTAACGAACGCACACGAGCCCGACATAGGCACTCAGGCACAGCACACACAGATAAACCGCTACGAGGGATCGACAGCGTCAACGTCAGCGTCGACAGCAGCGCCAGCGCAGCCGACAATACAACGCACAACTTCGGCGCAACTTCAGTTCTTGAACGGATGTCGAAGGTGGAAGAAGTGCCGCTGATGTTCGCGCTCGCTTGAATTGAAAGAAAATAAATAAAAATCACTCATACGAGCCATTGTACGATTGTCGTCCACATCGACGTTCAATTTAAGATATAAACTGTGCGCGCCAGTGCTCCAAGACGCGTGTCTTCTGTACTCTACACAGTCAGGGCGATAAAATAACGAATATACTAAATACATAGAGTATATAAATATTTGTGATTACAAATGAAATAAAAGGAGACGTTGGCATTGAAACTGCACACAAATTAAATAAAACAATGAAATAAATAAAAACAAGTTGCTGATACTAACATCAAATACATTCACACAGTATTTTTTCAAAATATATGCGCATTAATTTATCATACGATTTGTGTGCTGTATATATAATTATATATATGTGTCTGATTGTGGTACTGAATCTTTCGTTTCGGAATTTTCTCATGTGAATTGCTTTAAACAGTGGCCATTATAAGCGCGAAATACCAGCAAGTGTTAAGTTGAAATTAAAAATGCGACGGAAAAATTTAACAATTGTGAAGGAATGCAACAAATGAAGTGAGGAAAAATTTATATCAATGAAAAAAAGATTATAAAAATTATAATAATTGTCAACGCTTGGCAAATAATTCGATTAAAATAACTAAAGCAAAGAAAGCGTTATACATTTATTGGAATATTTGCATTATCGGAGAAATAAATTCCCTTGGCTGTACTTCAATACCTTTAAATAATAACAATAAATTCAAATACAATCGAAACGCTTCACCAAATTTAGATTAGGACCCGCATAGTAGAAACCCCCTGAAAGACCACAACAACAATATTAAATTAAGTGTATATGTATGTGTCGGGCAATGCAAAAATTAAGAAGAATCCAAAAACCAAAATCAATTTTAATACAAATGCAAGTACCACCAGCATAAACGACAATTTCAGCTTACGATTTCGAAAATACTCAATTGAAGAACGGACATTGTTTCTGTGTATGTGTGTGTGTGCGTTATCTGCTCCAATACCCGCAAATCCCGCAGAATTGAGGCATTCAGACATTCAGATATTCAGTTTTGTTAGTGAGTAATATTATGAAGTGATTTTGAGAGACCATAAAAGTCAATGACGTGCGCTTTTTCCATTAAGTTTTTGACAATTGACCAATTGGAAAATTCGAAGAGATGCCGCCCTCTGCGTTTTTAGTTAATGCCACCATAATCAGCGCAACAACAGCGGCAGAGGGAGCAGCGGACTGCGATAGAGTAACAAACTTAAACATTGACGCCAACACAAGCAGTAGGCCTATAAATCAATTGAAAAATTTGCATAAATTGGCGCAACAGCAGCAACAACAGCAACACTTTGCGAGCACGAGCAACAACAATTGTCAAACGGCGCCAAACTACAATTACGCAGCAACAACAACCGCTACAACAACGAAACCAACAACAAATATGGTGCTACAAAGCTATGAGAATTATCCTAGCTATCATTTGCCACATCAAGCCGCCCACTTGCTGCATCAGCAACATCACCAGCAGCAGCATCAGCAGCAACAACATCATCACCAGCAACATCAGCAACACCAACAGCATGCACTGCATGCACAGCAGCAGCAGCATCTACAACAGCAACAACAACATTATGGCTCACCCACGCATCACGCACAACAACAGCAACATCAGCAGCAGCAGCAGCAGCCACATCAACGCTTGTCCGGCGGCAGCACCGGCAGTAACACAGCCTCATCCTCATCGGGCTCCAGTTCCAGCTCATCCAGCGCCTCAACGCCCTCATCTGCCGTCGGCTTAGGTGCTGGCGCCGCTTTTTCGAGCGGCACCAGCGCCAGCTCTCTGGTTGGTGCTTTGGCCAGCTCCACGGCTGCCTCATTGGGTCTGGGCTACTTTAATGATATAGCGCCGTTTGTGGGCGACTATTCGCCCACATCGCATCAGGCGTCTAGCAACAACAACAATAATGCCTACTACAACCGATTCGGATGTGAATTTCTTTAGTTCAGGTAAAGCTCCCAGTCCCCCTCTCTCCCCTCTCTGTTCCTTTCTCTGGCAAGAACAAAAGGCAGCTTGGCAAATATTGAAACAAAGTAAAACCCGACGCTAATAATCTTGACATCAAATGCTAAAGCATTTCAACCACAAATTAATTACAACTGGTAGCCCACAGAGTGCCAGGATGGTGGGAGGGGGTGTGAAGTGTGTGTCTGTGTGTGTGTGTGCTCAAAAGATGTGCCCGCAGACAAGTTCGTTCGTTTGGGTCGCTCTTCATTGTGCGTTCTTTGGTTCGTCCCTCGTTACCAGCCATTTCAAATAATTAAATTGTAATTCATTTTTAAGTGCTTATATGCAACACGCCTGGTGCGTAATCACAACGCGCGTTGGCCCGCAAGTCATGTCGGCCTAACCCTCACACCCCCACCCCATCTCCGACGCTCTAGAAGTGAGCAAACACGCAACAAGTAGCTATGAGATTGTCAGCACTTGGATTTCAGTTTTGGGGATTTCTTTTCCATTCTAGATGGGTGGGTGTTGCGGCTTGTTTGTTCAATAGTTGGTGCTGTCTCTGTTTGCACTTTAGGCAGCGATGTGATAAATGCTCACTGTTTGACAATTAAATGCTTTGTCCACAACTTGTATATATAATGTACATTGGATGTATCATATACATACAAGTATATACTCGTACATGCTTAAATCAGCTGCAAAATGGATGTAGAATGTAACGCATGGATGAGTTCTATAATTAATAAACTGCACATCATTTCAATCAGAAAGGTCAATTTTTGAACTATCAATTAATGAAAAACCTCAAGTCTGCTTTAGAAACTAAATTTAAACTAAAAGCATTGCCTAAAAGGTTGAAAATTTAATCCATTTTTGATTTAAATTTATGTTTGTGCTTTATTTTTTGGGCTTCAATAATGGAATTAGAGTTTAAAAAGTTATACTTTTGATTTCAGTTTACTTGATAGGTTTCTTTTTAAAGATTTTCTTAAAGTAGCTTATTAATATTCATTTTGAAATATGGATTGGATTATTAATTTTAATACAATTTGCAGTTTTCTTTTATTTTCAAACATTGCAGCGAAGCACTTTTTGGTTTTACAAGTATTTATATAATTGTTAAACTCTTTTAAATGAAACATTTCAGTTCAGATTACAAACAAATTAATTTTAAATTTTTAAAGCTTTGCAGAAAGTAGCTCTACTCCCAATATTTTTTTATATACTCTGAAGACTTAAGGGCTTCATCGAAACAAATCTGGCAAGCCTCTAAATACTTACATCCTTCCAACTATACGAGTATAAAGTTGAGAATATATAGATAATTGGAAGCTTGACAGTATTAAGAGGGTTGCCAGATTTGCTTCGATTTTATAATGACTCCGGAATATATTAATGTACACCTAAGCTTCGTGACAATGGTTTTGTTTAAACAATTAGTTGAATCAAAAACGTTATGAATCAAACAACTATAAGCTGCAACTAAATTTAACTCAATTCTATCTCAGTAGACACCCATATGCGTATATTATGCATCTATAAAATTATTTTAGAATTCTGAAAATTTCGGTTTTCATAATTAAACAAATTAATATACCATTTCAGAATGGTAATCAATTTTGAACAGCAGGAATTTATATTTTGTAAAAATATAACCAAATACGAAATATCTTTGAAATTCATTATACTTTTTTCTAGATCTGTTCTTAATGGAACTTCTCTTACATTTTACGATATACTTAGTTTTTCAAACAGTAAAAGTGCTGCGGAATAAGGATATTGACTCGTTTTACGTATTCATATTGTATTGCTTGTACACCAAAAATATGGTCACACATTAAATGATGTGCATACAAAGTCGGAAGGAAAATATACTTAAGAATAGAATTAATTATTATCCATGAACATTGGGCAGTCTGGCCGTAGCTTAAGCTATTTTTATAAAAGAGAAGACTTGGTCCAGTAGATGATGTCTCTTTAAATGTCTTTGGTGTTGACTTTTCTTGAGCAGAGAGCCTTTGGATATACCGAATACCCTTGCTATGCCTAGGTGTAAAGCGTTTAATAAATTGCAGGATGCACCCAGCCTCAGTTTAAATCCATGTGGTGTTTATAAATCCAAAAATAAAAACAAATAAACCCTAAAATCGGCTTATCATTTAATTTAGTTTTTATAAAAGGATATACCAGTTTGTTCCGGATAACAAGACAAGTCAATATTAGTATTCCAAATAATTAGGTTCAGTGTAACTTTAAACGGTAATAAAGTCTTATTGAATTATTTGTAAGCTTTTTGGAAATTTAAGAAACTATTATTTCAGTTCAGCTCGTCAGCACATCTCATAAGGTACTGTAGGTCTTTCAGGGCTTCGAAGTTAATTTCGAATTTAATCAAGCACTTACGACTAGCTAGTCCTTGTTTGTCCTTCAGATGCTTTGGGGTTGGCCGTCTTAGCAGAGTTTTCACTTAACTTTTGCTTAGATGCTGCGCCACTGGCAATCGAAATGAATGTATCTGTGGGTATTTGTTTTTTGTTTTTTTTTGTTTTTGGAGGAGGAGTATTGACGCGAATCGAATACGATGCGCTGAACTCTTGCGGCTCGGCGTGCGCTTCGTTTCGTCTCACTTTGCCAGCCAACGACTGCTTGTATCTGTATCTGTATATGAATGTGTATCTGTGTCTGTGTCTGAAAGTGTGTGCGCAATACCGGCGTGTTGAGCGAATGGGACGAGCGCAAAGCTTTTCGAACAAACACATGAGTGAGTGAGTGAATGGGATTACAGTGGTTGGAGCGAGCGAGTGAGAGCCAGAGTTGCAAGAATGTATGTGTGTGTGTGTGTGTGTGTAGCAACAGGTTTTTTGTATCTCACAGATACAAGTAGCAGCGATTTGTGTGTTAAATGCGCTTACTGCGATTAATGTAGCGTGCGCTGCTCACAGACCATTAGATGGGAAAAAAGCTGTCTATAAAAGTGTCTGTCGGTCTGCCAGTGTGTCTGTGTGTGTGAGTATCTGTGAGCATGCGTACACTAGTATGTGGGCCAGCTTTGATTTTGATTGGTTTTCGATGTATTTACACTCTCTGTGCCTATGCGTGTGTGTGTGTGTGTGAAGCTGATGATGTGTGAGAGACGCCGCCCCATTTTTGACGACACGCCATGACGTGCCTTCAATATTTGAACTTGATTGATAAGATAGTTTAATTACAGATACTCTTACTTGTGTGTACTCGACCCCTTTCTCAAAGTACTGTACTTACTTGTAATAATCAACATTGTCCTGTTTTTATTTACAGGCTATAGCAATAATGCGCATGATCGCTCCCAGACTAGCCCGCCACCGCAGCAACAGAGTCAGCAGAATGGCAACAACAATTCAATGCTGCCGCCTGCTGTGCAAAACTCGGCCAGTCAGGGCAACAGTAACAGCAACAACAACAACAACAATAGCGGCAATAGCAGCAGCAGCAACAACAACAGCGGCGGCGCTAATGCGGGCAGTAACAACAACAACAACAACAATAATAATAACAACAACAACAGCAACATCAACTACATGCAAATGGCAGCAGCCGCTGCCGCAATCTACACACAACATCAGCTTAAAGAGGAGCCGGGCACACAAAATCCCAACAACAGCAGCAGCAGCAACAACAACAACAACAACAGCAATGCTGCCGCCTACGCACAAAATCCTCAAAACGATCCCACCGATCTCTCCAGCTACGGCCTGCCCGCACATTTGGCAGCCGTAGCGGCTGCTGGCCACTACGGTGGTGGTGGTGGTGGCGGTGCTGCTGCTGGCGGTGGTGGCGGTGGTGGTGGCAACTCTGGCCCTGGTGCTGGCGATGATAACGACTATCACAGCACACTATCGGCGCAGGAGCATCAGAGTCAGGGCTCGAGTGCTGGCAATGGCAGCGGCAGTGCCGGCAGCTCTGGCTATCTGGATGGCAGTCCCGATTTCTATAATTCCTATAATCGTTCACGCTTTTCCGATCCCTACGGCACCGATTTCACGCACTACGATACCACACAGTTTCAGGGCATGGGCGGTCAGCCCGGCATGGATCAATGGGGCGCACATCCACACCACAATCCGGCCGCTTACATAAGCACCTTGGGTCTGGATAAATCCCTACTCGGCGGCTATACGACCCAGGGTGGTGTGCCATGCTTCACGGGCTCGGGTCCCATACAGCTGTGGCAATTCCTGCTGGAGCTCTTGCTCGATAAAACGTGTTCGAACTTCATCTCCTGGACAGGCGACGGCTGGGAGTTCAAGCTCACCGATCCCGATGAGGTAAGTAACAGCTGCACAGATTTTCTCTAACCTACGGTCACACAGTCAGATTATTTGCAGAGAAATTTATGATGGTTTTATACCAGTACGCAGCAGCTTAGTTAATAAGCAATTATATTTGCATAAAAAAATAGTTTCTTCGACTACTAAGTATATTAATGAGATTTGAGTATAACTCATCGAATTTGTGTGCAAATTATTTGCCTGTTATAACAGTTTTGAAGAAATTTGCATCAAAACTTAGATGTTTTCCATCGATCAAAGAGTTCTTAGAAGTGTAGGTCAATTATTTAAATAAGTGCTACTCGATATTCAAAAATCTGCACCTTTATATACTATATTCATATATATTCACTAATTTGTAAGCCAATTGGAATTTGAAAAACTTAAGTTAACTTAATTTGACACACTTGTTAAATATGACAAATTTGTATGCGAATTATTAGCCTGTGTGACCATAGCCTTACTTGATTTCGAAAATTGAACTAATTTTGTAAAAGTTTCAGATTTAAATCTATTCATTTTTTAGAAAGATTCGAATCTTGTGAAATATGACAAAATTGTGTGCAAACTATTCGCCTGTGTGACCATAGCCTTACTTGATTTCGAAAATTGAACTAATTTTGTAAAACTTGCAGATTTATTAGGCAACTGAAATCTATTTATTTTTTAGAAAGATTCGAATCTTGTGAAATATGACAAATTTGTGTGCAAATTATTCGCCTATGTGGCCATAGCCTTACTTGATTTTTGTAAAAGTTTCGAAGTTATAAGGCAACTGAACTCTATTTCTTAGCGAGATTCAAATTATAGATGTTTCCACCGAAACATCTGCAGATTTAAGAACGAATAGTACAAGATATAGGACTTTTAGTTTTCAGAAAATTTCATCACACAGAATAATTCATGGTTCCCATATTTTCTATCTACCTGCAGGTTGCTCGTCGATGGGGCATACGGAAGAACAAGCCCAAAATGAATTATGAGAAGCTGAGTCGTGGTCTCCGATATTACTACGATAAGAACATTATACACAAGACAGCGGGCAAGCGCTACGTCTATCGCTTTGTGTGTGATCTGCAGAATCTGGTCGGGTAAGTAGCGCAAAAATGAGAGAAGCATAAACCGATAACTAAATGTTCTCTTAACTCTTACTTACAGACACACGCCTGAGGAGTTGGTGGCGAAATACGATTTGAAAATCGAGAAGAAGGACATCGATTAGCAGCGATATGGAAGCGATCGAAGCAGCATTACACCGAGTGTGGATTCTTTCATGTGTGCTTAGTTTTGTGCTCTGACAACACAATTGTTTTAGCTTTTCATATTGGCAAAGCTGAATATATACATATACTATATATACTATACATACATATACATACTATATTTTTAGCTTCAGAGTTTGTTTTCCATGCGTGATGTTAAATTTTAAGCAGCATAACCTGCGATCTTACGACGAGATTAAAGTGTTAAGCGCCCAATAATGTGTAATGTGTAAAAAGCAGAGTAGCCTTTTAAATTAATTTGAAATTAATTTAAATATTCGCCCCTAGCCCTAAGTAATTAGCCATTACCCCTAACTCTAATTTTAAGCTTAAGTCGTTAGCATTGATACTATACTATATGAAGGAAACCAGTTCAAGATACAACAGAAACGGATTGAATACGAGTGGAAATCAATATAAAAAGTAATTAAATTTTAAATTTGTGTGCAATTTGATTGTTGTTGTCCCATGGAGATAGTTGATGAAGAGAAAGTGAAAATTATAAACTGAAATTATAAATCATTTCTAGCATATTCGTAAACGAGGCCATAAAAAATGTGCATGTCCCCAAAAAGTGATATTAAAACGCTACATTTCGTTAACATTTTTTCAATTTTTTCGATCGCTTTTTTTTCTTTAACCCACCCACCCATTAAGCTGCAACACATTTTTCGAAAACGACCAATTTCGTGTGTACATATAAAATGAAATCTGTAGCTATCTATATAACATGTGTATCTTTAAAATTTGTAACTTATATCTGTCCTGTTGGTAATACGAAGTACTCGGCCAGCCCCCCCCCCCCCAAAAAAAAAAAAAAAAAAAAAAAAAAAAAAAAAAACACACCCACAAACACACAACATTTTGTGCGCTTCCGTGCGAGCCCAAGAGTTTTAAACGTAAAACGGCACATCAGTTAGTAGTACCTATCTAATATTAACCTCTACGAGTATATACCAGCCTGTATCCACATAGTAGTACCACATATGTTATATTTTAGTTTGTATTCAGTTAGATATATGTATGTACGAGAGAGTTGAGCAAGCATTCAGTTTGTGCTTTCAATTGTGTATAGCTATAAATTATTTAAGCTTAGCTCGTAGCTAGTAGCCACGTATTATGTAGAGCAATTTTCAAATATTGTATTTATATAATAAACGAAAAATCCAAAAAATATTTTAAAACAAACCCAACAACTCAGTCATCATTCAAATGTTTGTCTTTGGCCTTTCTCTGGACTTTATTTTTATCTACTTAAAAGGAATTTAATCTCTTTACTAGTCTTCAGAAACTCTCTCAAAATTTTCCAGAACATATTTTTTTGTTTTGATTTGTTTCCCACGAAGAGATCGCGTGTATTTCGAAAATGTTTCGTGGAATTACTCTAGGCCTCGGCACGTGGCAAAAAGCGCGCTCTTTCCAGCAAGTTCCAAGACGCCAGGAGCACAAAATGCCAGAGCATTTGAAGAAGGTCGAAACGGACAAGGATCCCGAGTTCTCGGCAATGGTGCTGTATTATTATCACAAGGCGGCGCAGAAAATGGAGAAGGAGCTGGTCAAGGAGATGGACGTGTACTCGCATATGAAGCCGGAGGAGAAGCAGGCACGTGTAACCGCCATTTTGAACTTAATTGGCAGTGTGACCACCTCGTTGGAGGTCAGCTTCCCGATTATCAAGAGCAATGGACAGTATGAGATTATCACCGGCTATCGCTCGCATCACATTAGACATCGGCTGCCCCTGAAGGGAGGTAAGTGGTCGGCGCACAGGGAGTGGTTCAGTGCTGGACTAATCTCTTCCTTGTCCAGGCATACGCTACGCCACCGATGTGGATGAGAGCGAGGTCAAAGCGTTGGCCTCCATCATGACCTTCAAGTGCGCTTGCGTTAATCTGCCATATGGCGGCTCCAAGGGCGGCATCCGCATAGATCCCAAAAAGTACACGGTTAACGAGCTGCAGACGATTACGCGTCGCTACACCATGGAGCTGTTGAAGCGCAACATGATTGGGCCGGGCATTGATGTGCCCGCTCCGGATGTGAACACGAGTCCGCGTGAGATGAGTTGGATCGTGGACCAGTATACCAAGACGTTCGGCTACAAGGACATTAATGCGGCGGCCATTGTGACCGGGAAGCCCGTCCATTGCGGTGGCATCAACGGTCGCAACTCGGCGACGGGTCGGGGTGTCTGGAAGGCAGGCGATCTGTTTCTGCAGGACAAGGAATGGATGGATTTGCTTAAATGGAAGACGGGCTGGAAGGATAAGAAAGTCATTGTTCAGGGCTTCGGCAATGTGGGCTCCTTTGCGGCCAAATTTGTGCACGAGGCTGGCGCAAAGGTAATTGGCATTAAGGAAATGGATGTATCCCTAGAGAACAAGGATGGCATTGACATCAATGTGAGTAGCAGACACACTGCCATGGTTCTCAGCTGACCAATCGATTTCCACACGATTCATAGGATTTATTTGCGTACAAGGATGAAAAGAAATCTATTAAGGGCTACTCCAAAGCAACGGAAGCCAAGTCTGATCTCTTGAAGGCTGAATGCGACATTCTAATGCCGTGTGCCACACAGAAGGTCATCACCAGTGAGAATGCCAATGACATTAAGGCCAAAATGATTCTGGAGGGTGCCAATGGACCCACAACACCGGCTGGTGAGAAAATCTTGCTCGATAAGGGCGTGCTCTTTGTGCCTGATCTCTATTGTAATGCGGGCGGCGTCACTGTCTCCTATTTCGAGTACTTGAAGAACATCAATCATGTATCCTACGGCAAAATGAACTCCAAAACGACATCTCAGCTCATACACGAAGTAATCAACTCAATTAACGAGTCCTTGTGTCAGGCCAAGGATGTTGAACTAGTAAGTATACGAATGTGACACTGACTGCTACATTTTTAGGGAACTTCCGTTGTGAGTAGACAGTCATATTCAATGAATACTTCTCTTAAAGAGTCCACCTAAGAGGACAACCTCTCACCTAAGTATTAAGGAAGAGGCTGAAAATAGAGATACTGAGATGATCTATCCAGCAACCTAGTATAGCCTGCTTAAACATACTTATATATAACTTTTGTTAGCCAACTGCCGGCATAAGGATTGCTTAAAGGGCAGAATTCGATTTAGGTTTGGGCGATAGCCTTAACGTTGTCTGACCATTACACTCGATAGTTCCACCTTCCCCTTAAGCACTGTTCTGCCAATGGAAGTGATTGGTTAAGTCCATCCAGAATATCTTGTCAGACAAATCAGTGGACTACAGATCCAAAGAAGAATTTGCTTATGAAAAAGAACCACCAGCCACTTAGGGAATGTCCAGAGCTTCGTCAGCAGAGCTTTATAGAGCATGGAACGAGCTCGTGTGTTTCGGCTGTGTTTGGCCAGTACGGATCGAATTCTAAATAGATCTGAGCATGGAGCTGGCTATGACTGATTCTCCTTCTTCGAAAAGAGGGAAATATAGTAGCTCTATATCTTGCCAGTTCTTTTTAGTGAAGCTCCATATGAAGAGTCAAACCAAAAAAAAATATTTTAGACAGATTAGTGACAGCTTCTCGGATCCAAGACTATCGACAGCACTATTTGCCGCCTGACTGACAGTCATTTATTTTCGGCCAGAAGATGCTGTAGTGGCTCGAAACCATACAAGATTTTCCTAGTAGAGTAGACACCACCACCTTCCTTTGGGCTGTCTTTGAAAACCCTAGAGAAGTCTAATTTTTTTGGCTTCAATCATAATCCCTTTGGCCCTAGGATTCCCACTCATCTCCCGTGCATCTCTTTGCAGCCAGACATTGAGCCCAATGATCGCCTGAAGCAGATACGTGACTGTACCAAGGAGGCCGAAATTGTAGATGCGGCCCTGCAAACGGTTATGGAATCTGCAGCCGCTGGCATCAAAGCGACCGCCAACCAATTCGAGCTCTGTAACGATTTGCGCACGGCAGCCTACGTGTGGTCTGTATTTAAGATATTCCGTGCCATGGAGAGCTCAGGAATATCACAGCAGTAGTATGCTCTGACCTTCCACTCAACACGTATGGAAAAAATTTACTGTGAGACTTGGGAGAACTCATTTTTCGAAAACAACGCGTCCAAAAAACACTTCAATATAAATTGTGCTATAGAACAATATTATACCACAAATAGTTTTTGTATTTAGAATAAACAAATTAAACAAATTTAATACGTTTTGCTACTTTCTATACTTTAACCAAACTTTGTTGGCTGTATTCGCGTCTGCACAACATGGACGATATACAGTTCAATAAGTCGAGTTTTCTCGAGAGCTATCTGCTCAAGCATCGCGATCTGGGCAAGAGGCAGCGCGAGTATAAGAAGATACTGTCCAGTAAGTTGAAGACGCGCAAGGAGACCATCATCGAGGCCAGCTACGAAAATGCCATCACCCAGCTTATGGAGGAGAAGGATGACTTGCGTGCTCAAATCTGGGTGGCCACTGGCGTTACGCACAAAAAAAAGAATGATCGTCATCTGAACCTCATACGGTGCCACGTTGATTGCCAGGAGAACCTGACCGAGGACATTATGCGGCTCAAGGTCTCCATAAATAATATGGAGCGCGAGATAAGTCGGGTGGACAAACAGATTTACGATCTCAATCGCCTTACCGTGCCCGACCAGCAGCATCAGGCGCATGTGGCACGTGTGCGCAAGAAGATGATGATACTGGAGAATTCGCTGGAGGTGGGCGTGCGTCAGGAGTGTGGCTTCACTGCAGCCAATGCCGACTTGCGCGAGCAGCTCATACGGATACTCAACCATCGCACCTTCTTCAACGAATCCTACACCAAGATGGTGCAGAAGCTGAACAGCGATAAAAAGTATTTGGTCGATCTGATCGAGTATGCGCTGAACACCTTCGATGGCTGCATCGATGTGTATGAGAAGATCGACAACATTGCGAAGCGTGAGGCCAAGGAGCGCGAATTGCGAAAAATTGAGATGCAGGGCATTATGCGAAAGGTGGCGGCCGACGCCGACAATACAGCCTTCCTCGAATGCAAAGCCAAGGTGCGCATACTCGCCGATCTACAGCCCAAGGAGTACAGACGTCGAGACGAGTTCCGACGCAAGCACAACAAAAAGATCAATCTCTACAACTCGGTGCTGCAGAAGATACTCGACTACACCAACTCGCACAACGTCGAGGAGGTGATTGAGAAGTTCCAGCAGCAGGAGAGCCTCTACTACTCATTCTTCAACTACGCCAACGAAATGAGCTACCACATTACGCTTCTGAACAACTCCGTGAATCGTCTGTTCGAGGACATCATAATGCTGAAGCGGGACAATTCGCACACCCTGCTGGATCAATTAGAGTTGATATCCAATTTAGAAGAAGAGGTTAACAATAAGCAGGCCTCTAATGTGACGCTGCACAATGCCCGTGAGCAGAACGACACGCGTCTGGAGAATCTTCTACAGGGCGTGGAGACGCTCTGCGAAATGTGCATGGTCGACTCGACGCCACTGAGCTCTCTCCTCGGCGATCACACGCACGTCAATTTGGTGAATGTGCGACGGTTCCTTAAAATACTAGAACGTCGCATTCAGGAACTGACCGCCTGTGTCTACGTGAACGAGCGCCAGGACGAGGGCAACTTTGACTATGTCGTCAAACAGATCGAGAAGATATGCGAGCTGCCCACCGATCTGAACGACATTGTCCTAACCCAGCAGTGTCCGGAGTGCGCCGAAGGCGAGGCGTTCAACATGGACGATGGCGGCGATGGTGTCATCATACACACCGTCACCGAGGCCAAGAAGAAACTCTACGAGAAGATTACTCAGCCGGAGATGCAATATCGACTGCACAGCATCAGCCAATGCCGTCTACCCCGATCTCGATTGCTGGCTGCCAAGCGCAACATGTAATCTTTCCAATTTCTTTCCATACCAATTTTGTTTGTCCACAATTCCAAATGCAAATCTCTGGGGATAAATACATTCATTTGAATATACAGTCTTTTACTATATTTGTGAACATAGGTTCCTAGACATATGTTCAAAACAAAGCAGCTAAATATTTGAAATCAATCAAGTGATGGGGCAAGAAAGGGCTGGCATCTAATGATAGAAAAATTAGCACTTCTAGCTACACATAGCACTTTCAGAGTTCAATAACAACGATCTTTTCTGAAAAGTTTTTCCTAAAATTTAACTAATTATTAATCAATGATAATTACAGCCCGAAATTGGGGTAAAATTGTAGGGAAATAATTATTTTGTGTTTTTTAAGAGAGCGAGAAATACTGTATCGCAATCTTCTTTTTTAAGGATAATGATTTCCTCCATTATTAAAGAATTTTTTTGATTGTCTCACAATGTAATGTTTAATTTAAAATTATAGTTCTCAAGAACTTAACAAATAATTGATATTTTCCAGCAAAAAATAGAACTCTTAAGAAAATGATTATTTCTTGAGATTTTTTTTTTTTGCTCAAAAGTAAAAGTCACGTTGAAATTTATAGTATATAGTTTTTTAGCTGTCTTTAAAATAAACCCATTACGTACACAAAGGTTCTAAAGCTGTCAAAGTTAAATGAATGAATTAAAGAAATTGTCGCTATGTTCCTAAATTGTTCATAATATTTCCTATGAAATTTTGGATAACAATAAAGAAGACTGTTCTTTAATGATTCAACTATCTTGATCATACATATTTTCTTGGAAAAAAGTAAAAAACTATATATACTTGTAATTGCATTAAATAAGATTTATTATTATTTATATTTGGTAAGTTAAGTTATTTGTTTTTGTTGCTACATTTATTAATGGAGGATGCATTAAATAAGTCGAAGGCGATGATTTTGAATGTATCTTTGGTCATTCTTTCTACTGGCTAGGTTTGTTCTCATTCTCGTCGCCTAGGCCCAGGCCGCTGATGAGGCCACCGAGGAAGCTTTCAACAATTGGATTGCCGCTGCCTGCAACAGGAGCGGGTGCAGGTGCAGGCGCAGGAATTGGGACTGGTGCCACAGCTCCAGGTAGAGTTGGTTGATATCCGCAATCGTACATTTTGTTCAGCTTTTCCACATCGTAATCGGAGAAGCCATCACGCTGACCCATTTTGGAACTGCCACCGGCTCTCTGAATTTTTTGGAAAGTGAAATGAATTTGGGGAATAGAAAATAATTCAAATTATACGAACCACAGCCACAATTGTGGGCTGCCCGTTGGTGGAGAAGGCATTAGCCGAATAGTGCATCACACTGCCATAATCGTAGGGTACTCCGAAGGCCTCGGTGCGAGCCGCCTTGTCGAAATTGCTTTTTGCGGATGGCTGCACATTCTGGTACTGAATAGCGACAAAGCCATCGCGTTCCATGCGGTTCTGTTCGTGTAGAAAGCCCAGAGCATGCATCAGCTCGTGTATGGCTGTGCCTGGTCTGCCCAAACATCCAGGAGACTGAAGGTTCACCTCCTGCTTGCCGCCCACACGTCCCACCGATGACCAACAGCCCGAATTCCCACTCACAATGCTGATGTAGTCGCGCTCGATGCTGCGTGGCACAAAACGAATGCAGGTGCGTCTGTGATATTGGGCGATGGCATTCTCAATGGTGGTCCTGTCACGGGAATTGAAATTTCCGCGTATCTCGTAGGGCACCACACCTTTGGGCCAACGGGAGCTCTGCGTGGTGAGTCCATTCCTGATGTACTGGCCAGGCATAAGAATATCGCCTTCCAGATAGGTGCCCAGCTCCTCAGGATTAATCGCGTTCTCGGCACTATAATTGGCCACGAGGGCCGCGGTTAACTCTTGATCGGGCGTACCAAACAATGCACTGCCATAGGCGCTTAAATCGATGATATCCTTACTGGCCGGCGCCTCAGCTGCATCAATGGCATTGTCAGGCAACTCAATGACCTCCGTATCGTCGATATCATCATAAGATATCAAGGGCACAGCCTCGGCCAATGCAAGGGTAAACGTTAGCACCAATATTAAGCGGATCATTGTTCACTTTTTCCCCTCTAATTCTTGTCTATTTAGTATGTTGTTGACTGCTTGCTCGCTTTTTTGTGACTGTGCTATATTCGTGGCCGCTAGGGTATTATATACATGTCCCCGAACGGCCCGATGCAGCATAATCACGCGCGCAACTCTCTTTATCAGACGATGACGACGACCAAGTTGTTGCTTCTTACGTTTATTATAAACAACATGCTTACATACTATAGATATTTCGCCGGTAGACCTTCAGCTGTTTTCATTCACTCCCACTCGCTCGCACGCTTAATTGCTAGTCAAATATTTGGCATTATGTCTTAGCTGACGTTCTCAGTTAGTTCCATAAAGTGTATCAGTAGTTTGTTTGCATATTTAAAAGTTTAATGACATTTCTTAATGAGAACTTTTGCAGTTTTTCGTTGAACTAAACATAACCGATAAGCGCGCGCAATCGCTGTAACCTTTTCGTTTTATGGATTTATAAGCATACTGTATATTTTGGCTGTGATTTAGAGTGGAAAATATATCCAGAAGTACACCTTTCATATAAGCCGCCCAGCTTGATTTAAATGGGCATAGAATAGATATGCCTCAATTAAAAATTAGAAAAAGAAAAACATTGTAACATAAATAAATAGTGAATTAAAAACAATTTAGATTTCACATTATTGCTCTTGACTTGGACTGTTTCCAAAATTCCCAAGCACTACCAACAAGTAGAAAAAACGAAACAGCTGTGTGTGCCGTGTGCACAAATTGAGTTCAAGTGCATGCGGCAGCCGTAGCCGTAGCAGTCAGACCGAGCAACACACCATGTATGTATATAATATCGATATTATTCTTTTGAACATGGGAGAAAAAACAACGAACATAGTGCATTTACATGAACTATTTTAGGTCTCGAAACTCATCTCGACAATCATATTGGAGTCTGAATTGGTCAACTCGTCTTCATCAAATTTCAATTTAACGCCATTGAATTTATCAGCACTTGGAGCACGTTGGCTGCCAGCCGGGGTGGATTTGGAAACCTTTTTTAGGGCCTTGCTGCAAATCTCATCAATTGTGGTGTTGTCATCCATTAAGTCCTCAATGCAGCCTTTCAGTATTGTGGATGTGACAATGCAATCACGATTTAGAGCCAAACTCTTATGAAAATATTCAATAGCCTTGTCGAGGTTACCCAAAAGAGCATGGATAAAACCAAT